GGGATTACAGGTGTGAGCCACCATGCCCAGCCTCGAAAATTTAATTTTGTCATCAGATGAGGAGTGGAAGTGTTTTTTTATTCCCTGCATACAGCCCAATTGACTTTATCTCCCCAACATCACTCATTCGTGCTTCTTTCCCTCCATGGCCACTGCTACCCCGTTAGCCCTGGCCAGCATTCTCTCTCTCCCAGCCTGCTGCAAGCACCTCATGGCCAGTCTCTGCTTCTTCTCTGGCCTCTCCCAGTGCATCCTCCTCCACGGGGTAGCCCAAGCACAGCTCCCATCATGCGCTCCCTGCTCAGTGCTCCAGGGGATCTTCAGCACACTTGGGATAAAACCAAACCTTTTTTTTTTTTTTTTTTGAGATGGAGTTTCACTCTGTTGCCCAGGCTGGAGTGCAATAGTGTGATCTCAGCTCAATGCAACCTCCGCCTCTCGGGCTCAGGCGATTCTCCTGCCTCGGCCTCCTGACTAGCTGGGACTACAGGCATGCACCACCATGCCTGGCTAATTTTGTATTTTTAGTAGAGATGGGGTTTCACCATGTTGGTCAGGCTGGTCTTGAACTCCTGACCTCAGATGATCCACCCGCCTCGGCCTTCCAAAGTGCTGGGATTACAAGCATGAGCCACCACACCAAGCCGGGATAAAATCCAACTCCTTACCTGCACCGTGCCAGCCTCATCTATGTCTACTTGTACTTTCATTCCCTGCCAACCTCTGAAGACCTTAAAGGATTTGGGGTCTTCTCATAAGCACGTCTCTCTTGGCCTTATGCACCGGTCCATAAAGTCTTCACCTGTTCTCACCCATCCATCTTTCAGGGCACACCTGAAAATCACCTCCTCAGGAGGTTTCTGGAACCCCTGGGAAGAGGTCAGATTCTCTGGTTTCATACATTCCCATAGCAGCCTCACTTCTCCTTCGTAGCATCACCACCATTGCTGGCTGGAACCCCTACCTATTCATGTAATTATTGTTTGGCCTGCAAGCTCTACAAGGGCAAACACTGTGTCTCTCAAATCACAGTCACATCCTCACTTCATTCACATGGAATCAGCAGAGCCTGGAGACAGTATGGCCTGGCCTTTGCTGATCTAGTGTCTGGTGTGCTGGACAGAGGAAGGTAGATGGCACAGGCAGTGGTTTCTGATCCTTGTAATCCTTGCTCCCAGTATGTCACCTTGGGAGCATCACCAGCACACGCACACTCTGGACATCCAGCAGAGACAGGAGCCACTCACTGGTGATGACCCTGTTTCGGACTTTGTCCGGCCTCCACCCCCACCACATTCCAGAGTAGCTGACCACACCTCGAAGGATAGATAATGGAGACTGCTACAAGGAAAACAAGTCTATAAAAGAGAATGGCATGGGCATTCCATCGATACACACTTTGAAATCCACCTGGCTCGAAGAACCACATATTCTCCACTCTGTAGGCCAGCTAGGCAGGAAGCCAAAGTCTCCAAAACTGACCTTCTGGAATCACAGCAAGGGGAGGGTTGAGTCTGTGAAATTTTCAACCCACATCAGCCCCCAAGAGGTTGGCCCGACCAAGAAATGTGAGTGTCCACATCTGGTGGAGCAAAGCACTCTCTCCAGTCTGTGTGAGGATGGACTTGGTCTATGCTTGCCTTCCAGTGACCTAACTTGGAGCCTCTGAGCCCATCAATCCTCCTTTGCTGACATTCTTCTTTTACACACTTCCATGCATTCATTTTCTCTCTCTCAATCCTGTGACCCTGGGAGGCCATTTGTGTCTTTATATGAGCTTCCTCTCTCAGCTCCATCTCTTAGCATTGGATTAATAACCATACTCTCAGGGAACAAGCAAGCATCTCTATTTCCAAGTTCTCACAGGACAGATGTCCAGCCATTCTCGGATTCCAGCAGGGAAGTGAGTCCAGCTCACCTCACTCCTGTGGCTCCAATTGCTTTTATGATGCTGTCACTGACTGGGCAGCCAGGGAGCGTCCAGCAGGATGAAGGGTCTTTTGTGCTGTCCTTTCTGCAGAGGGACGCCAGCTTTGACAAGACCCCACTCCCTCTAAAACTTCATCTTCTCTGCAGTGTTGTATCACAGCCTTTTGTTAAAAAGGAAAACAAAATTACTCTTCAAACAGAGCTGTCTGAGGTATTGGACTCATTTAAACGTATTTTTCATTACTTTTCAGACTAAGCCTTCTCTTCTGTGTCTCTGCAAATTCTGGACAAACCTATAGCAGAAGGTTTGAGAGGATTTCACACATTGCCTTAACTATTGAATCGTGACTTTACAAGTCATCATTCTTTGTTGCAAATTACAAAAATCCAGCTCACACAGGCTTATGTAAAGAAGAGACTCTGCTGGTTTTCAGATTGTTCCAGCTTCAGGCATGGCTGGATCCAGGCCTTTAATCTCAGGTCCACTTCCTCTACAGTGACTTTACCCGTAGAAAGCCTTTCTCCTTCTGAGGCTTTCTCCTGACAGCTCCAGGCTCACGTTCTACCAGCTCTACACATTCATCACAAAGAAAGCTTCTCTTTAATAGTCTGAGTAGGGTTGCCAGATTTAGCAAATATTTGGAACACATCATTGATGATCCAAAATTCAGTTCAACTGAGGTTGTCCTTTACTGACAACCCTAAGTCCCATACAGGTCCTAGTATTGAATCTGGGCACTTTGGACCCTATATCCATTCTAGACACAATCACAGTGGTCAGCAGAAGGGGATATGTCAGCTGGCAGGCCAAAGTCACCTGCCTATCCCCAGAAGGAGGGGAGCATGGTCAGCCCTGTAGTCCACATCCACCCATAGTGCGTGTGGTAACCCACAGTACTAAAGACACTGATCCTAGAAGAAAGGGGACTGAACCCTGCAAAGGCAAAACCAACAGACGCTCACTAAGGTGACTTTGAAAGTCCTGGCCAGGTGCAGTGGCTCACACCTGTAATCCCAGCACTATGGGAGGCCGAGGCACGCACATCATGAGGTCAGGAATTCAAGACCAGCCTGGTCAATACAGTAAAACCCTATCTCTACTAAAAAAAAAAAAATACAAAAAGTAGCCCTACATGGTGGTGGGCACCTGTAGTCCCAACTACTCTGGAGGTTGAGGCAGAAGAATCACTTGAACCCAGGAGGCAGAGGTTGCAGTGAGCTGAGATCATGCCACTGCACTCCAGCCTGGGCAATAGAGCAAGACTTAGTCTAAAAAAAAAAAGAATAAAGAAAAAGAAAAAGAAAGTCCCAGACAACAGTGAAAACTGTACAACTTCATGGTGGTTGTATGGCATTCAAGAGCTTAAAAGCACTTCCATGCCATTGTTTCCTTGTGGATATTATAATCATTCCCTGTATTAATTTGCTAGGACTGCCCCAAAAAAGTACCATAGACTAGGCGGCTTAAACAACGGAAATGTATTTTCTTACAGTTCTGGAGCTGGAAGTCCAAATTCAGGATGTCGGTAGGGTTGGTTTCTCATGAGGCCTCTCCCCTTGGCTTGCAGACAGCCATTTTCTCACTGTGTGCCCATGTGGTCTTCCCTCTGTAACTGTCCCCTCTTCATATCAGGACACTAGTTATATTGGATTAGGGCCCACCCTAATAACCTCATTTTAACTTAATCATCTCTATCAAGTCCCTGTCTCCAAATACAGTCCCATTTTGAGGCATTGGGGGTTAGGGCTTCAGCGTACGAATTGGGGGTGCAGGGGGAATGCAGCTTTCATTTTTTTCTTTTATGTAAGGAAAAGGACAGTGAGAGTAGTCTTGGCTTGTTTCCAATCCCAGGGCTGATTTCGTGGTGGTACCCCACCCAGTGCTGGTCCCCGCTGTCCCCACCCCACCTCTGCAAACACGGGTGCCCACTCCCCGCCAGCCACCAGGCTCCCTGCCTGGTCCCAGCACCTGACCTTCATGGTCCCAGCACCAGGCACAGAGCAGACAACATTCCTGAAATAAGTGTTTCGTGAAAAGAATGAAATTCAGAGGGAAAGAAAAAAAAAACAACTAGACAGTTTGAGGAGATTTAGCTCAAAGGAAAGGCAGACAGGCACAGAAGCTCCTGATTTGAAGCGATAAAGACTCTTTAAAACAGCAGAAATGAGGCCTATGGATGTGTAAATGAGCCCAGGGAGGAACTAAGCAGAAGGGCGAATTACAAAACAGAAAAAGACAGGACAGACTAGGGGAGAACAGTGAATATTTCAGTGTCTTCGGTTCATAAGAAATTCATGAGCAATTTTGGAAATTTTGTTGGGTTTGGTGGTGGGAGAGAATTGTAAATATGTATAATATGTAAATATCTTTTATAATAAAAGCCCATGAAGATAAATGAGCCTGTCTGTGGAAAAGCTGTGAGCTGTATAAGATGTTAATATAACTGTCGTCACTCTAGAAATTACCATAATGCTTACAGGGATTTGAAAGTTCCTGAGCTTTGGAAGGAAATGCATAAATACTAAACAGAACACACATACACACACACACACCCCCTTCTTTTTCTTTCTCTTTCTTATTTTTGTAAAAATCTTTTTTTTTTTTTTTTTTTTTTTTGAGGTGTCTCGCTCTGTCGCCCAGGCTAGAGTGCGGTGGCACACAATCTGGGCTAACTGCAACCTCCGCCTCCCGGGTTCAAGCAATTCTACCGCCTCAGCCTCCTGAGTAGCTGGGATTACAGGCTCCCGCCACCACGCCCGACTAATTTTTTTGTATTTTTAGTAGAAACGGGGTTTCACCATGTTGGCCAGGCTGGTCTCGAACTCCTGACCTCAGGTGATCCGCCCACCTCGGCCTCCCACAGTGCTGGGATTACAGGTGTGAGCCACTGCGCCCGACCCTTTCTTTCTTTTGCGTGGGTCACTGCGCCCGGCCCTTTCTTTCCTTCTTTCTTTCTTTCTTTCTCTTTCTACCTCTCTCCCCTCCCTCCCGCCTGCCTGCCTTCCTTTTTTCCTTCTTCTTTTTTTTTTTTTTTAATATGAGGAAGGTAGCTTTAGTGAAAACAGGCTTTGGAGTTGAACCTATATGGGTTCAAATTCGACTTCTGTCCACCACCGAGACCTGCGTTCCGGGTGGGACTCGCTTTCCCATCCGCGAAACGGGGACGGCGCCGCCTCCACCCCGCGGCGTTCCGGGCGGGCTGAATGGGACGCCGAGTACTGGCTCCAGCCACGCCCTTCCCTCCCCGCCCCCGGCGCCGAGCGACTGCCAAGGCAGTGTCCCCAGGGGACCGAAACCGGGGCGGGGTCTCGGTCCCTCCGCGGAAGGAGGGAGCCGGTCCGTACCAGGCAGGAGTCGCCGCCCCGCGCCGCCGCGCTCCCCGAGCCATGGCGCCTTCCCTGTGGCGGGCCTGCAACGGGCTCATGGCCGCCTTCTTCGCGCTGGCGGCCTTCGTGCAGGTCAGGCGGCCGCGGTGGGAGGGGGACCCGCCCGGCTCCCAGCTCCGCCCCCTGGCGTGGCGGGTCGTGTAACTGACTAGCCCGCAGAGTCGCAGGGGCGCACAGTTCATGGGGAGGACGGGACTTGGAGTTTCTGCTGAGGGAGCCCCCACTTTCTCCCCCGTCTAAGAGACGTGGATGTGTTCATGGAAGCGAGTCCCACACCCGGGCTCACACCCTGGAAGGGGCTGGTTCCGCGCGTGGAACTTCCCAGGGGACTTCAGCAGAAGCGGCCCTGGCCCCTGCCTTAATGCCCAGCCCGCGGACGACACTGGACACATCTCAGGGGCTAGGAGATGAAGCAGAACAAAACCCTTTATAGCATCATTAAACTTTCTAGTCGGCTTGGGGACCCCCTTCATAGTAATTTCCCTCATTTCTTGAGACTGGTGGGAGTTGGGGGTGGAGGGGCCTTAAAATACCCATTCTGGGTATGGCAGGTCCTCTCCAGAGACCCTGTGAAGGCTTTTCAAAAATGTATGGATGCCTGTTAAAAACGTCTGTTGTGTCAGTCACAAATACCTTCATCCACCCTCATCTGCTGGATTATAGCCTGTTCAGATTTTGTATCCTCGACGCCTATTGCAGTGTCTGGCACTTAACACATTAATTTTTAAAAGTACTTAACAAATGAATTTAAAAGGAATGGAACAGCACAGGATGTCTGCTAACACTTCTGTATTCTGACGTTCCAGGTAAATGATCCAGATGCAGAGCTGTGGGTGGTGAGTATGAGCTGCTTCCAGGATTTCCTCCGTTTGGAAGAGTTAGGGAATGGCACAAAACACACGGTTTTGTCTTTACCCCTCCTCCCTGCTTAATTTTCTTAGAAACTTAAAAATCAAACCCTTGGTAAGCTCTTTTTCCTAAAATATTAGTAGACAGGATCAGAGTTCTAATGTAATGTGTGTGTGAATTTCGAACTTTCTGGAAACAGGTCTTTCTGCAGTATTCCCTTTGGTTAGATGGCCCAACTGAGGACACTTTCTTGAGGACCTAGAGTAGGCCTCTCAAGATCAGTTGAACCACTCCTTTTGGTTTCTAGCCAGACACTCAATGCAAACCTTTGACTGGGAAATAGCAGGCCTAAGTTCTGTGGTTCTGCTAATTCAGTGACTTAACATTTCTAGAAAGTATTAACTCCTGGCTGGGCAAGGTGGCTCACGCTTGTAATCTCAGCACTCTGGGAGGCTGAGGCGGGTGGATCACTTGAGATCAGGAGTTTGAGACCAGCCTGGGCAACATGGTGAAACCGCATCTCCACCAAAAAACACAAAAATTAGCCGGGCGTGGTGGCATGCTCCTGTAGTCCCCAGCTACTTGGGAGGCTGAAGCAGGAGAATCGCTTGAACCCAGGAGGCAGAGGTTGTGGTGTGCTAAGATCATGCCACTGTACTCCAGACTGGGTGACAGAGTGAGACTCCATCTCAAAAAAAAAAAAAAAGTATTAAATCCTGTAAAACCTACAGTCTTCATATAAGCAATGCTCTGATTTGAACCATTTGGAGGAGGGGGACATTGTCCCATACATCTTCTGAATATCTTTTGTTTGTTTGTTTGTTTTTTGAGATGGAGTTTCGCTCTTGTTGCCTAGGCTGGAGTGCAATGGCGCGATCTCGGCTCACCGCAACCTCCGCCTCCCGGTTCAAGCAATTCTCCTGCCTCAGCCTCCTGAGTAACTGGGATTACAGGCATGCGCCACCGTGCCCGGCTAATTTTGTATTTTTAGTAGAGACAGGGTTTCTCCATGGTGGTCAGGCCGGTCTTGAACTCTCGACCTCAGGTGATCCACCCGCCTCAGCTTCCCAAAGTGCTGGGATTACAGGCGTGAGCCACCGTGCCCGGTTCTATCTTTTATCTTCTAAAATATCTGAATTTTGCCCAGTTTCTCTCAATATAGATACACAAGACTGTACAGTATCACCAAGGGGATGATTCTTAGACTTTAGAATAATACTGACAGAGGAGCAGCAAGGATGATGGTATTTGGAATTATAACACAAAATTCTATCTAGGTTTTGTTTTTTTAGTGCAGTAACACCACATTCTGATATTTACTATCCAGATCACTATGCCTCTGAATCAAATCAAACTGCCTTTACTTTGGCACCCTGGTCCATATCTTGAATTCCAAATATTATTTCCCTGAAGACAAGTCTCAGGCATCCAGCTAATTGGTGAATTTCCAAAAGACTGCTGCGTATATTCACCTGCATGTCACACTGGTCCTCAGATATGCCCAAGGACCTACCTAGCATCTTTCCCTCCAAAATCTACTTCTCCTGACTCACCCATTTCTGTTATCAGCAGAATCATTCTCTGAGTCGTCCTTGTTTAGAATCTCAGTCATCTTTAACATCCCTCTGTTCCTTACCACTGCCTTGGAGAGCCCCTTGAAACACAAAATAAATTTGAGTCGGGCATGGTGGCATGCACCTGTAGTCCCAGTTACTCAGGAGGCTGAGGCAGGAGGATCGCTCAAGCCCAGGAGCTCGAGGCCAGCCTGTGCAACATAGCGAGACCCTCATCTCTAAAAAATTAATTAGGCCGGGCACGGTGGCTCATGCCTGTAATCCCAGCACTTTGGTAGGCTGAGGTGGATGGATCACCTGAGGTCGGGAGTTCGAGACCAGCCAGACCAACATGGAGAAACCCCGACTCTACTTAAAAAAATACAAAATTAGGCGGGGGTGGTGGCGCATGCCTGTAATCCAGGCCACTCGGGAGGCTGAGGCAGGAGAATTGCTTGAACCCGGGAGGCAGAGGTTGCCATGAGCCGAGATTGCGCCATTGCACTCCAGCCCGGGCAACAAGAGCGAAACTCCGTCTCAAAAAAATAAATAAATAAAATAATTAAACAATCTAGGTCTAATTGCTTATCTACATAGTACCTGCACATTTTATCTTTCACTCATGCTCCGATGATGTAATAGGAAGAATAGACCCCACTTCCCCAAAGACATCCTCCCTCATTCACAGTTTAGCCCTCCACTGCCTCCCGCATGGACCCCTGGCACCGGCCTTAACGTCTTCTTCTGACATAAGCCCAGAAATTGATGTGATTAAACGGCTACATTGCTCAGAAAGTCCCCATCCTTCTTAGAAACCCACCCGTCCTACTTGCTCCCCGCCAACAACACATGCACACCCAATAGTAAGTTTGGCTAGAGCCTGCTTGCTCTGAACGAGGCTTAGGAATGGGGCCTCCTTAGGGCCAGACTTCTCATTTCCAAACAACTTACCAGCAGTTTCCAAAATGAAGACCCTGACCTTATTACTGGGCACAATTGATTGTGGATGCATTATTAGAAAACTTTCTGTGGTCTCAAAGAGATGCAGCACTGGCCTGGATGGTCCATTGGGTCCAAACCAGCAGGGCCATCTAGCATCGTGGCTGCTCCTGCCCTACTTTTCAAAGAACATTTTCTTTTATGCAAGTGGGGAAAGGCCATGTGGGCATGAAAGTTGCTTGGGAGAGACTGGAAAGTTAGTGTGTCTTAAGACCCAAACCCTATGCTCAGTGCTAGACCTCGAAGGTAAATGAGCTTCTGGAATAGCCTATAGTCTAGGAGGAAGGTAGATAAAATTGCAGGCAGGCATGGTAAGTGCCACAAAGGCAGAGTCTACCACTTTGTCAATCTCCATTGAAACTAGAGGCAAATCATGGAGAACAACAACCACTGATCTCATCTTTCTTTACTTCCTGCATATCTCTGAACATCTCATATATTGGGCATACATCTTCACTCACGTAATTTCCTCCCTTTTTTGCTAACAGGTGGTGTACACAATCCCTGCAGTACTGACCCTGCTTGTTGGACTTAACCCTCAAGTCACAGGTATAAACCTTGCATTCTAAATGGAGAGACAGCAAATCGGATTTCCTCATAATAACGAGGGTCTATCTGCCCAACTCCCAGAAGTAAAACGGGGCTCTCTAGACCTTTCTTCTCGTTTCTGATAATAAGAGGGGCTAATTCTAATCATCCTTACCCATCTTCAGGAAAACGTCAGAAGGACGTTTTCTACTAAAAATACAAAAAATTAGCTGGGCGAGGTGGCGGGCGCCTGTAGTCCCAGCTACTCGGGAGGCTGAGGCAGGAGAATGGCGTGAACCCGGGAGGCGGAGCTTGCAGTGAGCCGAGATTGCACCACTGCACTCCAGCCTGGGCGACAGAGCGAGACTCCGTTTCAGAAAAAAAAAAAAAAAAAAATGTAAAAGTATTGACTGATCAAATCTGGATTTTCTTAGTTGCACTGTTTCTTCCAGCGACCTGAAAAAAGTGATATATCTGTGGATTTTTTAAAATATTCATTTCATTTTGGGGGGATCCACTTATAAATCAGGGCACAGTCAGGGATCTCATATCTGCCTTTTAAGATGAAATGTATTTTCATACAAGGCTTTAAATTATCTGAAAAAAGTAATGTATGAATCTGCTATAAAACAGCGTCTTCTGTTTTACAGAAGTGACAGGACAGATTCTTCTTCACTTTCTTTAAAATCGTTTCTCCTAGTGGGACTCAAATGTTCTCAGGGACCTTAGAAGAAAGACTAATGAGTCTCACCTTGGTGGGGAAAATTCTAATTCCCTAGATGCCTGGGCTCCCTGTATGGAGATGTACGGAGCTAGAATTCCATCTGCATCTTTAAGGTAGATCAGTTACGGCCTCTTTAGATACAAGCTAGAAAAAGAACTCAAATGTGCTATGAGCTAAGAAGAAAAGGCATTGGTCCAGTTTACTGAAAAAGGTGAGGGGTGGTGCTGGCTTTAGGCTGGTGGACTTGGAACTTTTAACTTCTCTCCACCTCTCAGTTCCACCGTCTGTCATGCTAACTTCACTCTTGGGCTCCACACAGTGGCCCTGCAGCCCCTGTTCACATCTTCACGATACCACGTCCAGTGGAATATGGACTGTGTTTCTTCACTCTACCAAAGTCTCAGAATGCAGTTGCTGGCTCTGATTGCTTGTCTGTTTGTGCTGATCCACATCACTGTGGCTGAGGAGATAACATGCATTGATTGACCTAGCCAAAGTCCAGTTTGCTGGGAAATGTGGACTGGGAGTGTGGACATGGTGGATCCCCAAAGAAAATAAGGGTGATTGTCTTAGGAAGGGGAGCTGCTGAGCAACCCAAACAAGAAATGGCCACTGAAGTTTATAATCAGTGCTATGACCTCTCTGTTGTCCTAAAAAAAAAAAAAAAAAGGGCGATGGGGGTGAGGGGGTCTGAATGTCTTTTCTGAAAGCAGACTATGGCAAAACATACAAAAAGATCATTTTTTTTCTGTGGGCTGTGATTCCATGATTAACAACATCAGGACGTCTATTTTTAGGTAATGTTATTTGGAAAAGTATCTCTGCAATACACATACTCTTTTGTATGGTGTGGGCTGTTGGCTTGGCGTACTACCTCTTGCGTCATACACAACAGAACATCTTACATGAGGAAGAAGGCAGGTGAGCAGTGACGTTTGCCCTGTGGAGGGATAGAACTGTGGGCTGGAACTGAGGAATCTTGTTTGCAACACTCCATCTGAGCACAATGGTAACTCAATTCCCCCAGTGTACCCTGCGGAGCAGGGAAGATATTATCTTCTTTATAAGCTGATGAAACTGAGGAAATAATGGAGCCGGGATTCAAACCCAGCCCCATCTATCAGACTTCATTATCACTGCCACTGGCAGTCATTACATATTATATTATATCATATTACTGTCAGACCGTTGGACTTTGGCCCCCTTGTAACTAGCAAGGATATTATACAGTAATACTCAGTCCGATCTAATATGGTGATAACTCTGTCAGCCTCTGATTCAGTTCTGGTTTAAGGCAGAATCTTATCTACAAGTATGATCAGCCATCTCAGAGGTCAGTACTTTTTTTTTCGAAATGGAGAGTTGCTCTGTCGCCCAGGCTGGAGTGCAGTGGCATGATCTCTGCTCACTGCAACCTGTCTCCCAGGTTCAAGCTATTCTTCTGCCTCAGCCTCCTGAGTAGCTGGGATTACAGGTGTGCGCCACCACGGCCAGCTAATTTTTGTATCTTTAGTATATACAGGGTTTCATCATGTTGGTCAGGCTGGTCTTGAACTTCTGACCTCATGATCCACCCTCCTTGGCCTCCCAAAGTGCTGGGATTACAGGCAGGAGCCACCGTGCCCAGCCTAGAGATCAGAACTTTAAGTCAACCTGTTAGACTTGCCCCGGTATGTCTTGTGTCATTTCCTTGTCATGACCACTTGCTCCTATGTTATCACTTCTTCCTTTGCTTCCTCCCACCCTTGTCTCCGAGGACTTATTAATAGAGCCTTTCCTTTCTTTTCTACTCCTACTGACATCTGCCAACAACAAAATTCATAGACCTGTAAGTTAAACATCACTGAAAAGGTGCTTCTTTGTTATAACCCCCAATCTTCAGAACACTGGAGGGCCAATCTATAGGTTGGGTCTGTAGATGACAATGTAGACCAAATGGGTTAAATCACTTCCAGCATGAAGCCTATGGGTTATAGTGAACTCAGGGTGGGGCTTCTAGTGGTACTATGGCTGAAGTGATTGTTTTTTATTCTATATAAAAGATACGTGTGTCTAATACATATATATAGAAGCATATACCCACCCCCAAATTATTAGTCTGATTTGTACTACAAATCATTCCTCTCCCCTAAGAAATGACCCAATCTCTTGTAGTATATACACAGATTACGTATTGGTTTGGGCTCATTCTGCCTCACACTGAAGCCTCTTTAAAAATGTAAAAGTATTGGCCGGGCGCAGTGGCTCACGCCTGTAATCCCAGCACTTTGGGAGGCCGAGGCTGGCAGATCACGAGGTCAGGAGATCGAGACCATCCTGGCTAACACGGTGAAAACCCGTCTCTACTAAAAATACAAAAAATTAGCTGGGCCTGGTGGCAGGGGCCTGGAGTCCCAGCTACTCGGGAGGCTGAGGCAGGAGAATGGCGTGAACCCGCGAGGCGGAGCTTGCAGTGAGCCGAGATCACACCACTGCACTCCAGCCTGGGTGACAGAGCGAGACTCCTTCTCAGAAAAAAAAAAATGTAAAAGTATTGACTGATCAAATCTGGATTTTCTTAGTTGCACTGTTTCTTCCAGCGACCTGAAAAAAGTGATATATCTGTGGATTTTTAAAAATAATTCATTTCATTTTGGGGGTATCCACTTATAAATCAGGGCACAGTCAGGGATCTCATATCTGCCTTTTAAGATGAAATGTATTTTCATACAAGGCTTTAAATTATCTGAAAAAAATAATGTATGAATCATGGTCAGACTTGAAAATATTCCATCGATGCCATAGATCTTGAGGGAGAGTCATTTGATCAGAATGCGCTATCAAGTGGTCCTGGAGAGAATGTGATGATATCCGTCTCACTTGTAGCCACTTCCAAAATCTGAAATGTACACCCTTTTATAGGGAGCTGTGTGGTCTGGTGATTATTACAGCATGGATTATCCTGTGCCGCAGTTCCTCAAAGTAAGTATTCAACTCATTGGTTAAAATCACATCTTCACGTTGGGAGGCCGAGGTGGACAGATGATGTCAGGAGATCGAGACCATCCTGGCCAACATGGTGAAACCCCGTCTCTACTAAAATACAAAAAATTAGCCCGGCGTGGTGGCGGGCGCCTGTAGTCCCAGCTACTCAGGAGGCTGAGGCAGGAGAATCACTTGAACCCGGGAGACAGAGGTTGCAGTGAGCCTTAATCGCACCACTGTATTCCAGCCTGGGTGACAGAGCAAGACTGTGTCTCAAAGGAAAAAAAAAAAAGAAATCACATCTTCAAGGCTGATAAAATCAGGCAGTAAGTGAAAATACTGCCATACAAGTAAAAACAGGAATCTTTTGAAAGAAATCTTCCCTTTTCTTAAGGGAAGTTAATAATAGTTGATTTACAGTGTCATGGTCACTCTTGTCCACAAAAACCGTAGTTTTCTACAAGGCCCAGTGTAGTCATGAGCAGTTGTCAGTCTAAAGGGTGCTTCAGGGTGAAGGAAAATGATCTCAGGAGGAAACTTAGAGATTCAGGAAAGAATGAAGAGCAAAGACAATATAAATGCATGTGTACATATCAATGAATATTAACTAATTAAACATATACAGGATAGAAATACACGACAACAGTGGCATAAAAGCTGGAAAAGAGTAAATGGAGTTTAAGCCTTCTAAGGTCCTTTAATTGTGTGAGATGAGGTAAAAGTATCCATTTATATTAAATTTTGATAAGTCAAGGATTCATGTTGTAATTGTTAGGGTAACCACTGAGCATTAAAAGGAGTACAGAAGGCAGGAGAAGGGGAAGGGGAAACAAACAATGGGACAAATAGGAAGTGTGTGTTAAGATACAGATTTAAACACAAAGATATCAGAAATTACATTAAATATAAAGGTAAAGATTTCAGTTAAGAGTCAAAGAATTTCAAAGTATATAAAAAGATTAAAAACCCAACTCTAGGCCAGGCGAGGTGGCTCACACCTATAATCTCAGCACTTTGGGAGGCTGAGGCGGGCAGATCACCTGAGGTCAGGAGTTCGAGACCAGCCTGGCCAACATGGTGAAACCCCATCTCTACTAAAAATACAAAATAATTAGCCAAGTGTGGTGGCGGTCGCCTGTAATCCCAGCTACTTGGGAGGCTGAGGCAAGAGAATCGCTTGAACCCAGGACTCGGAGGTTGCAGTGAACTGAGATAGCAGTATTGCACTCCAGCCTGCGTGACTCCATCTCAAAAAAAAAAAAAAAAAGGAAGACCCAGCTCTACACTGCTTACAAAAGAAAACTCTTAACTATACTGATATAAAAAGATTTAAAGTCAAAAGATGAAAAAAATTACAAACACCAGCCAAATGAAATACAGTATTGCAATTTTAACAACAAAATAGAATTTAAGGCAATTATTGGCGAAAAACAACTTTTTGTGAATATTTTTAATTTTTTTCATTTTAACTTTTTACTGGGAATTTTCAAACAAAAAGCAGAGAGACTAATATAGTGAATCAGATGTACTCATCACCCAGCTTCAATGATTATTGGTATATCCAATCTTGTTTTATCTAAACCTTATCCACGCCACACTGCCAAACTTTTTTTTTTTTTCTTTTTTTTTGAGACGGTCTCGCTCTGTTGCCCAGACTGGAGTGCAGTGGCGCAATCTCGGCTCACTGCTACCTCTGCCTCCCAGGTTCAAGTGATTCTCCTGCCTGAGCCTCCCAAGTAGCTGGGATTACAGGTACATGCCACCACACCCAGTTCATTTTTGTGTTTTAAGTAGAGACGGGGCTTCACCATGTTGGCCAGGCTGGTCTTGAACTCCTGACCTCAAGTGATCCGCCTGCCTCAGCCTCCCAAAATGCTGGGATTACAGGTGTGAGCCACTGTGCCTGGCTTGCTAAAGTATTTTGAAATAAATCCCAGACATCACATTGTTTCCTTTGTATGTCAGAATGTATCTCTAAAAGATAAGCATTTAAAAACTAACCACTCTACCATGGTCATACAAAAAATGAAGGAATAACTTCGGTATTGTGAGTTTTAAATGTCTCCTTTTGCACCTTATGTTTCCTATAAATTCGTGGTTAGATCTAGAGGCTTGACCAGATTCTGGTATTATTGACTACTTCATGTTAAGTACTTCACTACTTCATGTTAAGTAATGGCATTATGTAATCCCATCATAATATACCTAACACCTAGCTGCTTATCTGTGATGTTAATAGTCTTTGATGAGTATTGCCTAAATCCATTAGTTCATTTTGGTTGCAAAACTGATATTCTAATGATAATATATCACTAGTTGTTTGTTAGCTAGAAAACTTCCATAAAGAAAAATGTCCACTTATTTATCCTTTGGCCATGCTAGAGTACAGATCATCAGAAGAAAGTGAAATGAAAAGCAGCTGATTCTCTCCCTTAGTTACCAGTTTTCTTTTTATTTGAGACAAAGTCTCATTCTGTCGCCCAGGCTGGAGTGCAGTGGCAAGATCTTGGCTCACTGCAACTGCAACCTCTGCCTCCCGGGTTCAAGTGATTCTCCTGCCTCAGCCTCCTGAGTAGCTGGGACTACAGGTGTGTGCCGCCATGCCTGGCTAATTTTTGTATTTTTAGCAGAGGCAGGGTTTGGCAATGTTGGCCAGGCTGGTATCGAACTCCTGACCTCAGGTGATCCACCCACCTCAGCCTCCTGAAGTGCTGGGATTACAGGTATGAGCCACCATGCCTGGCCTAGTTACCAGTTTTTAAAATGTATTGTTTCTTACCTGGGCATCCTCCAAAGGTGACCAGTGAGTTTTGTTGCTTTATTTCTTTGTTTAGTACCATTAAAAAGTTATGGATGTAAACATATTTTTCTTTTTCTTTTTTTTTTTTTTTTTGAGACAGAGTCTCCCTCTGTCACCCAGGCTGGAGTGCAGTGGCACGATCTCGACTCACTGCAACCGCTGCTTCCTGAGTTCAAGCGATTCTCCTGCCTCAGCCTCCCGAGTGGCTGGGATTACAGGCATGCACCACCATGCCCAGCTAATTTTTGTATTTTTAGTAGAGAAGGGGTTTCATCATGTTGGCCAGGCTGATCTCGAACTCCTGACCTCAGGCAAGCTGCCCACCTTGGTCTCCCAAAGTTCTGGGATTACAGGCATGAGCCACCACGCCCGGCTGATTTAAACATATGTGATGTGTTTCAGTCCATGACAGTTATTGTCTTTATTGATGCTCAGAGTGTCCCATTTTTGACCAGTAGCACTTATTCAGGTTTGCTCCTGAATTCTGACATAACCCTAGTAAACCTTTGATAGCTTCCTTGCTTTCTGGTATGACAAGATGTTTCAGGCGCATGTTATACCCAGGATCATGTTTTGGGCCACAGACCTGGAATCAACAGTGTTTGCAATGTTTATGAATTTATATATATGTCATAAATGTATATGCATACATAGATATATATATACATGTACACATATACACTTAAAATATGAGTTTATCCTAACTACTAAAATTCAGAAATACCAGTTCTCATTAACCTTATTGGATATTTTATATCTGTATCTCCTTTTAATCATGGCAAAACCTCTAGTCTCAGTGACCTCAATATAATCACCCATTTGATTTCTACAATACAAATGCAAACTCAAAATAATAATATGACTACCCAAAACAGGTTCTTTTCTTTGTTTTTGTTATTAAGGTATAACCTACTAAAGGAATGTATACTCAAATTACTGGGTGTAGTTGTTTTGTATGCTAATGCCACCAAGTGAATACACAGTTAGGTTCATTTATTTCTAGGGCTAATTGTATTGAAAATATATGGATATTATTTTATAATTATGTAAAATATCTACGTGGCCCAAAAGTTGAATCTATAAAATAAGATATATTAAAAGAAATCTAGCTTCTCCATCCCCTTGACCCTACGTCTTCCCTTTCCCTATGGGGAAACTTTTTTCAGTTTTATAGTTTATCCTTCCACGATTTCTCAGTGGAGTACATGTGTGACTTAGTTGTATTCCTTCTTATCTTAGGTAACTGGCAGTATATTGTACACAGTTGTATTCCACTTGCTTTACCAGTTCCTACATCCTGGAGATCATTCTATAGTATAGAAAAACTTTTCTTACTCTGCTGATGGCTCCATAGCTTAATCAACCAGTCCTCTACTATTTAGATAGTACCCAGGCTTTTGCTATTAAAAATAGTGCTGCAATTAATAGCCATATGCATATATCTAACATATTTTTACCAGCGTGTCTTTGAGATGAATTCCTGGAAGTGAGAGGTGCTGGGTCAAAGTGTAATTGCATAGTTAATATTTCTATGTACTCCCAAATTCCCCTCCAGATGGCTCTTCCATTTTGCATCCCCACCAGCTATGGCTAACAGTGTCTGTTTCCCCATAGCCTTGCCAACAGAGTACGTTATCAAAATCTTGAATTTTTACTAATTGGATAGTTGAGAAAGGGGTAGTTTTACCTTGCATTTCTCTTATTAAGAGCAAAAATGAACACATTTTCATATGGTTAAGAGCCATTTATATTTCTTTTTCTATAAAAATCTTGGTATATCTCTGAGCAATGTAGGTTTAACCTGATTCTAAGGTTGCTGGTCTTCTCTATTTTTAGAAGCTCTATCTGTGATGTAAGCTGAAAATATTTCTTTGCCGTGTGTTATTTTCCTTTAACTTTGCTTATGCAAAGTATACTTTGCCATGAAAAAGTCTTTTGTTGTTTTTTTCATGTAATTGTATTTATCGGTCCTTTTCCTTATTGCTTCTGGATTTGGAGTCATAGTTAGGAAAACCTTCTCTCTCTCGGGTTGTAAAGTAACTTACCTAAGTTTTCTTCTAATACCTGCATGGTTTCATTTATACATTTAAATATTTGATCTGTTTAGAATTTATCCTGGTGTAATGGTATGAAGAACAGGTCTAATTTTATATTTTTCTATGTGGCTATGTGGTTATCTCAACACCACTTGTTAGAAAGTCGATTTAAGATGCCGAAGGAAGACACTTTTCAATGACAAAAGATTCAGTTCATCAAGAAGATATAACAGTGCTAAATTTCTATGGACCTAATAACATAGCCACCAAATAAATACAACAAAAAATGACAGAACTAAGAGGAAAAATGGAAAAAGCCACAATCATCTTGGGAGACTAACACACTTCTCTCAGTTACTAACAAACACAAAAAAGAAAAATAACGACATAAAAGATTTTAACCACACAATAAACCAAGAATGGCAGGATACACATTCTTTTCAAGTGCACATTCAGTATTTTACAAAAAGACTGTATGTTTGGCCATGAAATAAGTACCAACAAATTTCAAAGGACTGAAATCCTACAGAGTATGTTATTTGACCACAGTGCAATTAAACTAGAAATCATTAACAAAAAGATAATTAGGTAATTCCTGTATATTTGGAAGTTAGAAAATACACTTTCAAATAACAATTGGGTCAAAGAAGAAATCACAACGGAAATTAGAAAATATTTTGAACTGAATAAGGTAAATACTACGTATCAAAATGTGTGAGATGCAGCTAAAAATCTTGCTTAGAGGGAAATATATAGCCATAAGTACATTTTTTTTTAAGCTTCCAGCAAGTTAGGAATTTTTCATTTCAAGAAGTTAGGAAAAGAACAGCAAGTTAAACCCCAAAGAAACAAGAAGAAAATAAACATAAAAGCAGAAGTCAGTGAAATAAGAAAATCAACATAAAAATAGAGAATTAACAACGTCAAATATTGATTCTCTAAAATGATTTATAACATTGATAAGCCTTGACAAGACAAAAAGGAAAAAAGAGCGTGAGGAAGTACAAATAACAAATATCAGGAATAAAAAAGAGAATACTACTATATATCTAATAAGTATTGTAAAAATCGTAAGTGGATATTATGAAGAACTTTACACCAGTATATTTGAAAATATAGACAAATTTCTTGAAAAAATACAGTTTACCAACATTTACACAAGAAGAAATACTCAGAACAGTCCCATAACTGTTCAAGAAATTGAGTTCATAGGGCCGGGTGCGGTGGCTCACGCCTGTAATCCCAGCACTTTGGGAGGCTGAGGTGGGCTGATCACCTGAGGTCAGGAGTTTGAGACCATCCTGGCTAACACGGTGAAACCCCATCTCTACTAAAAATACAAAAAATCAGTTGGGCGTGGTGGCAGGCGCCTGTAATCCTAGCTACTCGGGAGGCTGAAGCAGGAGACTCGCTGGAACCCAGGAGGTGGAGGTTGCAGTGAGCCAACATCGCGCCATTGCACTCCAGCCTGGGCGACAAGAACGAAACTCCGTCTCAAAAAAAAAAAAAAAAAAAAAAAAAATTGGAGTTCATAATTTAAATTTTTCCTAAAGGAAAACTCTAGACCTAGATGGCATAACGGGAGAAGTCTACCTAATATTTAAGGAAAAAAATAATACCAACTTTCAATAAATACTTTCAGAGAACAGAAAAAGAAGAAACACTTTCCAACTAATTTTATGAGGACAGGTAACCTAAACTTGACAAGAACATGACAAAAAAATGAAATTACATGGCAGTCTCACTCATGAGCACAGATGGAAAACTAAACAACACATTAGCAAATCATATCCTGCAATATATAACCCAACCACCAAGTTGGGTTTATTCTAGGAATGCAAAGTTAGTTTCACATTTAAAAAAACCAATCAATGTTTTCCACCACATTAATGGAATGAAAGAAGAAAATAAACTATCTTGTAGATTCATACAGAAATAGCATTTCATAAAATTCAGCATCCATTCATGTTAAAAGCTCTCAGAAAATGGGCGTAGGAGGGAACTTAGCCTGATAGAAGAGATCCACACTGAAGCCTGAGACTTAATGGTGAACAGTTGAAAACTTTCCCTCTGAGATCAGGAATGAGATGAGGTTGGCCATATGGCCACTTGTACTCAATGCCATGCTAGCTATTGTCCCAGCTGGTAAAATAAGGCAAGAGAAAGAAATAAAATGCCCGAGGATTGGACAAGAAGAAATAAAATTTTCATGATTTGTAGGTGATATGAATACGTGTGTAGAAAATAAAAAAGCATCTAAGAAATCACTAGAATAAGTGAGCTTTATATGATCACTGGATCAGGATACAAGAATTAACTGCATTTCTTTCAGCAAGTAACAGAAAGTGATAAAACAAAAAGTTAACATTTATAAAAACATTCAGAAAATCAACTCCCTAGGAATAAATCTAGCAGAGATATGCAAAATCTCTACACATAAAATTATAACACATTATGCGAGAAATTGAAGAAGACCTAAATAATTGGAGGGCTAAACATATAATGACAAAAGGATGAATAAATAAAATGAAAGAACAGTAGAATTTAGAAACAGATCTATGCATATGTAGAGTTTAGACTTATGACAAAGATGATACTTCAGGGTATCTAAGAAGGCAGTCTTTTCAATAAATAGACTTGGATAAATTCAATATCCATTTGGAAAAAAGTGAAACCACCCCTACTTCACAACTTTCATAAAAATCAATTCCAAGGGGATCACAGATCTATTATAAAAAAGCAAAACAAGAGTGTCGGGTACAGACCGCGGAGGTGCGGCTTTCTCTTAGAAGTTCGGTCTCGGTTGTCTTTTGCAAGCCATCCAGAGTGACTTTTATCTACATTACTACGTGGCGCACAAGGGCAAGTTCAGCCACGAGTTTCTGGAGTTTGAGTTCTGACCAGACGGGAAATTAAGATAAGCCAACAACAGCAATTGTAAGAATGATGTCATGATCAGAAAAGAGGCTTATGTACATAAAAGCGTGATGGAGGAACTGAAGAGTATAATTGATGACAGGGAAATTATCAAAGAGGATGATGCGTTATGGCCTCCTCCCAACCAAGTGGGCTGCAGGAGCTTGAAATCATTATTGGAGATGAACACGTTTCTTTTACAACATCAAAAATTGGTTCCCTTATTGATGTCAATCAATTCAAGGATCTGGAGGGCTTACGAGTATTTTATTATCTTGCCCAGGACCTGAAGTGTTTGGTCTTCAGTCTTACTGTATTACACTTCAAGATTAAACCAATCTAAATTGAATATTGGTGTGAACATGGCGGGGTGGGGGTAGTTTTTAATTACCATTATCAAGAAAATGTTGTGTATATCAGGGCAGTATTTTTTAACAAACTATAAATGTCTTTAATAAATATGTGATTAAAAAACAATAAAACTTCTAGAGAATATAATACCTTCAAGACTTTGGTGAGGGAAATTCTTAAACAGAACACAAAAATCATTAGGAAAAGATCAACTTTAACACTGTCAAATTAATCATTGACTTCCTCAAAAGACATCAAGTGGGACAAGGTATTTGTAACACATATAAACAAGGATTTATATTTAGCATATATATAATTAATTTCTATAAATCAGTGAGTTATATTTCAATAAAACACCTGAGATGAGAACATACTAAAATGTAATTATGTGTTTTATCAATTCAGTCTTTATACTTGTTTCCAAAGCAATCCATAATTTTTATTGGAGTTTTATTTATAATAATTTTTGTGTCTTCATAGGACTCCAGTTGGTGGAAGAATTCAGTTGGCTATTGCCATTGTAATCACACTTTTCCCATTTATTTCATGGGTCTACATATATATTAACAAGGAAATGCGGTCCTCCTGGCCAACTCATTGCAAGACAGTCATTTAAATAAATTCAAGAACTTTGTTTTTAAAATGAATATTTTCAATCAATTTTTTATGAACATTAGAGGAACAAGCCAGGAGTTTATTTCAGGTAATTTGGGCTAACAGAGTTTTTTAAAACTCCAAATAACTTTTTAAGGGTGCGTATAATTTGATATAAGATTGGATGGGACAAGTAAGAGATGGTCTGATATTTTCTGGAAGACTTTCTGCAGGGTCTTGTGTCATAATGTAGTGGAAAAGGCTGGAGAATAGCAGTTTAAAAATACGAGTTCTAACTCAACTTTGTAACTATGTAATTTGGGCAAATATATAAACCTCCTAGTGGATATTTCTTTATAACACAGGATTAATGCCACATCTACTTACTTATACAGTAGCAAGGACCAATCTAGATAATGTAAGAACACTCTGAAGATATAAAGTATTCGGAAAGATTACGGAGGGCTGTCCATGATTAAAATAGAGGGGAGCAGGGATTGGGTAATATACTGAAATAGAGGTTCAAGAGAGGGCTATACCCCGATCTTTCTTTCTTTCTTTTTTTTTAAGACAGTCTCACTCTGTCGCTCAGGCTGGAGTGCAGTGGCATGATTGTGGCTCACTGCAGTCTGGACCTCCCAGGGCTCAGGTGATCTCCTACCTCAGCCTCCCAAGGAGCTAGGACTACAAGTGTGCACCACCACGCCTGGCTAATTTTTTTAAAATTCATCATAGAGACAGGGTTTCACCATGTTGCCCAGGCTGGTCTTGAACTCCTGAGTTCAAGCGATCTGCCCACCTTGGCCTCCCAAAGTGCTGGGATTACAGGTGTGAGCCACCATGCCTAGCCCAGCCCTAAACTAATCTTATCCAGATCTGGCACAGTGCAGTGAACTCAAGGAAAACTCTAGATGAACCAAATGAGCAGGCATGTCTTGGAAAGAAAGGGAAGCTAGATAGAATAAAGGAACTAGGGACCAATCAGGAAGGAAATAGGGAATATAAGTACCTTCTAAATGAGAAATAAGGTCAAAATCTATACACATGCTTTATAAATGGATGTCCAGAGTAACCCTAGGGAGGAGAGGTTGGGTACTTGATGATTAGAAAACTTACTGTGTTTGGAACAACTTGGGTATTTGAATCTAACTTTCCAATTGCAAATTTTATGATACCTAAATACAGATAAAGTATTTTCAATGAAATTTTATTGTCCAAATGAGTGGAGCTTTAAATGTAAAATACACTGGATTTTAAAGACATGGGTAGAAAAAGAATGTGAAATATTTTTTGTATTGATTATATGTTGAAACAATATTTTGGCTATATTGGGTTAAATATATTGTTAAGTTGATTTTATCTGTTTCTGTTTACTTTTATTTACGTGGCTTACATTGCATTTCTGTTGGATAGTCCTATATTTAAGCATCTGGATGGCAACCTTTTTTTTTTTTTTTTTTTTTATATTGTTGGTTGATTTTATCTGTTTCTGTTTACTTTTATTTACGTGGCTTACATTGCATTTCTGTTGGACAGTCCTATATTTAAGCATCTGGATGGCAACTTTTTTTTTTTTTTTTTTTTTGAGAAGGAGTCTCATTCTGTCACCCAGGCTGGAGTGCAGTGGCCGGATCTCAGCTCACTGCAAGCTCTGCCTCCCAGGTTTACACCATTCTCCTGCCTCAGCCTCCCGAGTAGCTGGGACTACAGGCGCCCGCCACCACGCCCGGCTAGTTTTTTGTATTTTTTTTAGTAGAGACGGGGTTTCACCGTGTTAGCCAGGATGGTCTCGATCTCCTGACCTCGTGATCCACCCATCTCGGCCTCCCAAAGTGCTGGGATTACAGGCTTGAGCCACCGCGCCCGGCCGATGGCAACTTTTTACATATGCAAGCATCAGACTCTGTGGTCAGATACTGTTTTGTCTGATCTAGGAAAGAGAGATCTGGGAAATACTTCACTCAAAAAGAATGAGTAGTACCTTCCACAGGTTAGGAGAGTGTAAATGAGTCTGGTAGTTTGTCTATTTTTATTGTCTTTATTACTGTAGTAAATATTCTATAAATATTTGTTAAAGGAGGTATGTGTATTTCGTTTTTGCTATTGGCACTGGCCACCAAATGGTGAGAAATTGTCTAAGATTAAGACTTGAATGAGTAAAAAGGGAGAAAATAAATCTAGTTGATATTAAAACAAAGTGAAACTTAAGGGTCAGTAAAATACACATCAAGGATTTGAGTTTTCCAGTGTACATTTTGCTTACATATTTGTGGCTTTTATACCTCCTTTAGTATTAACTAACTACTGAAGTCACATGCAAAGAAACAGACTCATCTGCAAATTCCCTATGGTCTCTACCCATTGACCAAGTCATGTTTACTTCTGTGCTTAAAGACAGTCATGTTCAAGATGTGCTTTCATCATGTCTGCCTCTCCCATATCAGACTATGAAATTATGTGAATATTCATAGTCTCTCTTACATTTCGAGTTAAGCATATAAAAGGCACTAACTTTTGGTGGAAGAGTCTTTTGAAGTCTTTATTAATGAAATTGAATTTAAGTATTATTAAATTTAATATTTCTATTAAAATCTTTTTTTTTGAGATGGAGTCTTGCTCTGTCCCCCAGGCTGGAGTGCAGTGGCGCGATCTCAGCTCACTGCAATCTCCACCTCCTGGGTTCAAGCGATTCTCCTGCCTCAGCCTCCCAAGTAGCTGGGACTACAGGCACCTGCCACCATGCCCAGGTAATTTTTTTGGATTTTTAGTAGAGACGGGGTTTCACCATGTTGGCCAGGCTGGTCTGGAACTCCTGACCTCAAGTGATCCACCCACCTCGGCCTCCCAAAGTGCTGGGATTATAGGCGTGAGCCACCATGCCCAGCCTCTATTATTAAAATCTTTCTCACCTTCACATTTTTCTTCCATTGTTCTCTATTTCACACAAATCTAATCATGTATTTCCCCAGCTCAGAAAGCTCTAAGAGCTCCACACTATCTGGCAAGTTAAATTCTAACTCCTGGCTCATCATTCAAGGCTCTCCATAACATAGCCCCAGCCTGCCCTTTTCAGCCGTATTTCTTGCCATATCCCCCTACCCCCAGCCCGGCACCTTTTTGGTGAATTGTCACAGCATGACTGGCCATGTCTAACTTCAGCATATCCTTCGATGCCTCTGCTTTTGCTATTCTACTTGATACACTCTTCCCCACTTATTCAAGCCATTTTTCTACATTTTGTATGTCATCCCCAATCCCTTCGAACAAAATTAAATTCATCTTCCATGTTCCCTCAGTCCTTTCTTTGTGTAACAGCAAATTTCACACATTTGAATGATGGATGTCCAATTCATGGTAAGGTCTATGAGTGCAAGAGTACGTTATAGTCACCTCTGGTCAGCTGAACAATGGCCCTCAAAGAGATCCATGTCCTAATCCCTGGAACCTATGTTACCTTACAGCACAAAATAAATTTTGCAGCTGTGATTAAGCCATCCTGAGATGGGGTTTACCTGGATGGGCCCTAAATGTTACTATAAGTGTCCTTGCAAGACAAAGGCTGACGTAGATCTGACTACGGACAGCAGAGAATATGATACGACAGTAAAGAAAGAAAGATCTGAAGATGCTTCGCTGCTGGCTTTGAAGATAGAAGAAGGGGCCATGATCCACAGAATGCAAGAAGTACAGCTCTGGAGGTTAGAAGAGGATTCCTCCTAGACCCTCCTCAGAAAGCACGGCCCTGCCAACACCTTGGTTTCAGCCAAGTGGAAATGACTTCAGACTTCTGACCTCCAGAACTGCAAGAGAACAAGTATGTGTTGATTTAAGCCACCAGGTCTGTGGGAATTTGTTACAGCAGCCATAGAAAGCTAATACTCCTTTATATCCCTATGGTGCCCATGTATTCAACAGGCATGCTTATTTCTTATAGTTGTTTAGGCCCTGAATCAAACTTTCTCTACATCTAAATAGTCCCCATTTGCCATCTAGTGTTTCTGCACATAAGCCTTAGCATATATGAAAACGGTGTTAAACATGTCCCATTAGTGTATAAAGGGAGTCAGTGTAAATTCATTTACCTGCTATAGCTTCACACAGCAGTGGCTGGTGGCCCAAACAGACCAAGCTGGCTGGCACATGGCTGCACTGCCACTTGGTCCTACGAATCCCAAGAGGACTACATGACTTTTCTGGAGGCCCTTCTTACAGGGATGGGAGTGCCACACACTTACCCATGAAATAACTCTTGGTAATTTTGTTTACAAAATGGGAATACAAGCCTATAAAAATCCAAGTATACGTGTTCTGAACAAAAATTCTCCAAAGCTCGTTTACACAGCAGGGTGAACAGGAAAAGTTTACCTGAGCTTACATGGTGAACTTGAAGTTACACAGTTAATACATGTGAATGCATTCTCCTTGTAAAAAGTTAAAAAAAAATCAGGTAAGGCCAAATAAAATCCCTCATGAGGACTATATGCCCCTTATAAAGACTATTCGCCCTTGCCTCAGTCTCCTCCCTGGTTTATTTTGTTTCTAACTTACAATGGATACATGAGCCAAAATAACATTTCTGAGTATTTTATCAACCAACACACACTGAAACTATAAATATATTTTGTTCTGCAAGCTGAATACTAAACAATGAGACAGAGGATTTTTATTTTTTTGTTTAGGAGGGACAAACACAAAGCTCATTTTCTATCAAGTTAAACAAAATAAATTAGACTAACAATGGACGGCTCTTTCTTTCTTGTAATTCATAATTCTGTCTGGAACTCTGCCTCTCCCTTTCAACGTCATTTTGTCAGGATAGACATGAACTGTGCCAAAAGCTTGGCTGTCTGGAGCTGTTTCAATAACTCCTTCTAGGCTCACGTGATATACACCAAAAGGATCCTCAGAGTAGCCACCATCATGGGTGTGACCAGCAAAGAAACACACCACGCACTCATGAGACCAAATGACTGCCAGGGCATCTCTGTAGTTCCAGGCCAGGCACACACTGTCAGAGGCGTCTGGGTAAATGGGAAGATGGCCTGTTAGTTAAAGAAAAGAAGAGTTAGGAGCCAAGAAATATCTCTTCTATAAAAATAAATGGCTGAAAGTTAATACTCAGAAAAAGAAAAAAAATTGCTATCTCATTATGCGAATGAACTGAGACCAGAGAGAATTCACACACATGAGAAAACCAGGTCATCTACAGCCACGTCTCTGGAGCTTAGAAGGGTGAGACAGTTCATATGAGGTGCGACAGGCTGCTGCAGAGGCAAAACCCTGAATCTCTGAGGCCTACGTCATCTCACGCTGCCCAAACACTGAGGAAGATCGAGGATGTCCTATGCAGGGCAATCTGCAAAGGCAGCCCGGAATTGGGCAGGTGCTGTGCTGGAATCCAATCCCATTGATTTCCTTAAATATGAATGTTATATACATAGAATGATATAACACTAAATAATTAAAGAGCAAGCCGGGTGTGGTGGCTCACACCTGTAATCCCAACACTTTGGGAGGCCAAGGCAGCTGGATCACCTGAGGTCAGGAGTTCAAGACCAGCCTGGACA